AGCCGGAGGGTGGGATTGGATGGACACATGAAATTCGATGAACAATGCACAGATGAGAAGACAGAAAGAAAGTACTAAAAGTAGTTGATGAATAAGTTCTTTAGGTTCTGTTTTGATCTTATTCTTATGACTTTCTGTCCCAACGAACAATGGAATAATCATAATCTGTTGATTTTAGCTACATCTACGACGCCTTATTCTGGAGATTAGAGCTTACTGGTATAAGTTAGTGAAAGAAACAGATCATAAGTATCGAAAAATTGCTTATAACATGCCAAAATCAACTTGTGGTGCTATATTAGTCTTCCAAGGTTTATGTCATTGCAGGCATCCATGCTTTACAAAATCTTTTCTATTGCACCAGCTGTCTAAAATCTTGTTGCTTGGTATATAAACCAAGTTTCCTTATGCTCGGGATCATTTCTCAGTGTCATGCCTATATAATTTCAGTGCTATATCTGGATTTTTAAAATTTTACTAATACGACAGAGGAAGCTATAAATTTTAGTTCATTCTTTTCCTAATTTACACGAGAGCAAGTGAATTTCGTGTAGTTTAAAGAAATAAATATTCAGAGTTTGAATTACATTCTTTAGAGGGAATTATGCAGATTGAAATGTGGTTAGAGCTTTGAGTCACTTGTCCTCATCATCCCACCAAGAAGAAAACGACTTCCATATATTTTCTTCTTTCGTGATTTTTATAATATTTGATGGTTTTTTGTCTGCAGGACTATTGCGATGTGGAAAGAGTTGTCGTTTGAGGTGGATCAATTACCTACGACCTGACGTAAAACGTGGAAACTTCACACCTGAGGAAGAGGAAACCGTAATCAAACTGCACAACTCTTTTGGAAACAAGTACGACAGCAACTTATTAACTTGTACTAATTTCTTTGACATTTTTCTTAATTTGATTACATATTAACTTATTATAGATTATCTTTGATTTCTTGCATTATTTAATTGTAATCTGTAATATGCAGGTGGTCAAAGATTGCTTCTCATTTGCCTGGAAGAACTGATAATGAGATTAAAAATGTGTGGAATACACACTTAAAGAAAAGATTGACTAGGAAAACTGAAGCCGGTGACTCTCCAATGGACTATTCTGATTCTCAATATAGTTCATCGAGTTCAATTTCGTCAAATGAAGACCAAAACATGGAAATGATAGATCAAACGGTTCAAGAATCTCATGCCAAAAAACCTACTGAGAAACCCAAGTTTCTAAAAGTAATATCTAGACATCCAAGCGATGAACCGAAAGAAACTGCAAGTTCTGGTTCTCCAACATCTTCTTATGCATCAAATTTCTCTAATGTTGCAAGGCTGGAGGAGACGAAGGGGTCGACTGCTTCAGAGGAAAAAATCGAAATCCCTTTTGAGTCAGATATCGACTTTTGGAATTTGTTGGATGCGTTGGATCCTTTTCAGACCACGAACACCGAACAAAATGAATGTGAAAATTCAAAGGTTTTAAATGATGTGGAAAAACTAGACAGTGAAGATGAATGCAGGGAGTGGTTAAGAAACTTGGAGAATGAACTTGGACTAACTGGAGGAAATGGTAGTGACAATCTGCCAAATACAGAGTATACAACGAGTTTACACCAGGAGATGAATTATGAGCCAGAAATTGAACCTGGAATGGATTATTTTCCAATATGGCCTTCTTCACCTCAAAATTTTTGCATCTAGAGTCAACCAAATGGGGTCCTTTGAGAAGCGTGTCAAAATTTGCAAATTTTTTGTACTCCTAAATACG